TAATCATCACAGGACAAAATATGAAAATTGTGTCCGTTAATCTTGACGTCTCCTTCCCCAAAACCCCAAAACCCCTAATGTTAATAAAATCAATGGAAAAAGATCTAAATATAAATAATATAAGTAAAATATAAATAATATCAGGTAAATGTAAAACCAAGAATTTAAATACGAGTCTGACAAGTAAACAGAAGGATTTTATAATAGCTAACAAAGACATATAGATAATAATGAGTACAAACTGAAAAATCACAGAATAATAATCGAGGATTATCAGGAGGAAAGATAGAATTAATATACGATGGATAATAATTTTATGAATAGAAACATTTTCAATAAAAATTAGAGTTAAGTGGAGGAAGATAAATAGGAATATGAAATTGATAGTGATGGGTCTTCAGGAAGCGAGAGGCAATATTACGAGAGAGGGGAGGATTATAGTTTTTAAGTTTAATCTACGGGTGTTAGTCAAAGAGAATAATTTTCCCTCAATAGAGTCATCAAAGTCAGAAATAATACTATTGACTTTGGACAGGGCAAAAACTTAGTTAAGAATAAAAATGTATTGATAAATGACTTAAAAAACCATAAAAAGCAATTAATCATTTCATCTTATTAGATAAATACTCCTTCTAGAAGGTTTCAGTAAGAGAAACAAGATATGATTCTTCTAGATTTAAAGGGACAATCGCAATAATAATATGCTAAAGATATCATTAAGACTATGGGCAAGATAAGACTTCATACAAAATAATCTATGTCTTAGCAAAATGAAGATCTATAAGATGATATAGATTTAGGATTGCTAAATAGCTCAGAAAATCAATATCATCAGTCTCAAAATTCTATAATGTTGTCATCAATGCATTAAAAACTATCTGAAAGAGACAGCGAGTATAAACTTCAGTAAGCTCTAAATCTAGTTTAAGACTTATTCAATGATTAGGATTTCAAGAAACTCTTACTCTATTATCCTAAATTAAGACAAGAGAAGCTAGCTATTTTCTATTTAAGAAACAAATATGACTTCAAAATGACTTAGAGAGATATTTATAGAAAAATGGGAATGAAACCTACAAGACCAAAGTAAGATACTAAGGATCGAGTTTCAGAGAATGAGATTCTGAAAAGCACTTTTAACTGTGAGGAGTTAAAGCTCTAGGATCACGAGTATGAACAACTGAGATAAGAGTATTCAATTGGCAATCAAAGTCCAGAATAATAGTACTTTGAACCAGATACTCCATAGCTAGAACTATCTCTCTAGGAAACATTCAATATTAATAAAAATAAAAACACACTCAAGAAAGTAGACGATTCACATCAAATGCAAAGGATATCTGAGGGCAATGCTGAATATATCTATTCAGATGACTATGTCAAGAAGGACTTCAAATGTGACTACCCTACATAAGGCCCTGTATACAAATATGGAGAGCAAAAGACTCTGGATAAATTCAACAAAACTGCTGTTACGAAGAGCAGAGCGGCCTCGTGCTTTGCTTTTAAGTGTGGATCCAATTCAAATTAAAAAGTAGAGAGGAAAAGATAGGCTTCTACCCAGATTGAACTTCCTCATTAAAAAGCAAGTCTGCTTAAAAGATTTTTATGAATATAACTGCTGAGAAATTCTATAACTATTATATTGCTTTTGTCTAATAACTTAAGGATTGATAAAGAATCTTGTAATTAAGGTTCAGAATACAATTTATTAAAAATTATTTCTTTTTTCTTGAAGATCTGTAAATTAGGGGTTTTGGGGTTTTGGGG